TCCAATTTGCCAACTCATTGCCTGACAAGTTTAGAATCTATATAAGATTTTTTATCTGTGAAAAATTCATTCATCTTATGTATTGAATAAATGGTCCTAAAATCATAATGAATATATGCTACTCTAGTAACAATAACACATAAGTCTAATAATGAACAATTTACAAGCTAGTCTAATATTAGGCAAAAACTAATCGATCTAATATTATCTCAAACAAATATCAAAAGTCAATCTTTCTACATTTAGGATGTTCTTAATTGGCAGGGCAGTATAATAAAAACGTTTTGTATTCATAAAATGCAAATTTTTTGTTAAAGAGTTATTTAATTTTTGTTAATTAAGGTTCTGAAACTCAAAATTATAAACTTTGCAATATTGTCAAAAAAAATGTTTTGAAGACTTTTTTATTAGTTTTTTTTTTTTTAAACTAAATAATAAGAAGAAGATGATGAAATTCTTAATTAGTTATTAACAAATAATAACTTTAAGATAACTCACAGACATGGGGCAAACTAAAAACTTGGGAGCGTTCTTTTAAATTCGAATGAGATTGAGCATAAAAAAAGTATAGCGGTTGGAGCTGAACAACAAAAACTCCCTATTCTCAAATGGTTGTCGGTTTTCTAAGATGTATATAATTGCATCAACGTTTAAAAATAGAATACTTTTGAAAATGCGTCGCTTTATGCTTTTCCCTAAATTTCAACCATCCAACTCGTTATTTATTGCACGTTTGATCAAGACGTGTTTTCATTGTGTGTCATCGAATAAATAAATAAATATTTGATGACGCATCAAATATATATACATAAATTTACAACATATTTATAAATCAAACATATATATTGATTCCATTGATGTTTTATAAAGAAAAAACTTTACTGAAACCTAAGTTTATAATATAAGTTGCACTAAAGTTTTATATCTTATTAATGCTTTTATAAAATACCCACCGCGAACTTGAACAGGAAATCTGATGAAAACAAAAACTTTTATAAGTAGGCACTTCAGTCACGTGACTGTTTCCGTGCGACAAGTTTAGAATATAAACAGCGAATTTTTCGGCAACTTTTTCGGGATTTTTTTCATGTTACCTAATTTCAAACCCAATTGCAAATTATATTTCATTGGCAAAAACTTGAAAAAAATGTTGATCTGTGGAGATTATTCTTTAAAGTTTCTTAAAAAAGATGCTGGAAGATTTTTCAAGTCGTATTCCTGATAGTTTATTTTATTTACCCTTTTTGACAAATAAATAAACTGTTACAAATTGCCTATTTTCGAGTTCTAGCACTTCAAAAAAGATTATTTAGCCTATTAAATTACAATATTTTATACTTGTTTTTTACTAATTTGTTTTTTATATCTGGACTTAACAATAAAAAAAAAACACTTTTTATTATTTTTTTCGATATTTTTCTTGACGCCATTATGCTACTCCGTTCATAGTTATTTAGGATAAACTGACCTATATCTGGGTGCGCCCTTAGTCTGGGCGATTTTCAAAAAAATCTTTAATGCAGGGCTGTATTGATTGCTTTAAAGTAAAAATGCAATATTTAGACTTTTTAATTTATAAAAGTGCAGTTTAAAGTACTTAATGACTACTTAACTGTTTTGAGAACATTTTTTAAAAATTTGATAAATATTATGTTCTGTAAACTCGATGTTTGGTATTTTCAAAGTTTTCCTGATTATTCGAACATTTTGCTATAATAAATCTTTTAAATTGCTACTAATATTATGATACGATACTGTTAAACTGTGTATGCTTTTCTCCTTATTTTGTTTAAAGTTCAATAGTTCTTTTTTGTGTGTGTATTTTTCTATATACAATCTTATATATCTGGCCATGATTAGTCTTAATTCTGGCTATGCATGAAATGCATAGTTTTTAAAATTATTCACTTATACAGATATATATATATATATATATATATATATATATATATATATATATATATATATATATATATATATATATATATATATATATATATATATATATATATATATATATATATATATATATATATATATATATATATATATATGTATATATATATATATGTATATATATAAATATGTATATATATATATATATATATATATATATATATATATATATATATATATATATATATATATATATATATATATGCATATGTATATATATATATATATATATATATATATATATATATATATATATATATATATATATATATATATATATATATATATTAGAGAGAGAGAGAGAGAATTACTAACTTGAATTACTTGATACATGTATATGATATCCTTGAGGACGCGATCGCGTCACAAAACGAGATACCATCTTTGTAGGGAGAAAACATTAAACTAAATGTGTTATTAGCGCGTTTTGTTTAATGCCTTAATCGCATCACAAAACGAGTTACCATCACAAAGATGGTAACTCGTTTTATGACGCGATTGTGACCTCAAGAATAACCATTGATACATAGGCATTTATTTTAGACAGTCATAACCATTTATAATTTAATGTTCATGGTGTTATTTAGCACTTTACTTTAGAATGAAAAAATAAATAAAACTAAAAAAACAGAAAATTCAACGAAAATTGAAAAACAGAGATGCAACACTGAAAAAAAACCGTTTATGGTATGATGAATCAATGATATCATCAATTAAAGCTGTTAAAAATGAGATTCACAGCGAGCAGCATGTAAAGTTTTTGACTTTTTTTTTTTTTGACAGATGTTTGTTAAAAGTTTGACTTTCTTGAGTAACGGAAATGGGAGTAAAACCTGGACATCCAACTATTTTAGATAAAAAGAAACTAATTGATTTTGCATATAATTGTGCAACTTTAGATTTGGTTGATTGCAATTACTAAATTATGACTCCTACAGAAAAATAGTCGCATGGGATTTGCAAAAGCCACAAAGATTTATTTGAGGTCAAGCAGAAGGTGCAGCAGCTATTAGATATCACTGTATGAATGTTTGTAAAGTGTCAAAATATTTATCCAATCTTAAAAATGTGTTAACTGAAATTAACCTACTTCAGAAACCGCAAAACATTTGGAATACGGATGAGACTGGGATACAGTTTGATTATCGTCTCGGAAAAACAGTTGCTAAAAAAAGAGTTAAGTATCTACAATATCATCAATTAGGTAACCAGGAAACAATCAGAGTAATAACTTTTGCCAATGCAATGAGTAACTCTTTTTTACCATATTTTATATTTAAAAGTAAAACTACTTATTCTCTCTCGAGTTTTTGATTTGAAAATCACAAAAAGGTATATGGAGTGTTTCAGACAGTGGTTGGACAAAGCAAGGCATTCTAGTTCTATGGTTTACAAAGACCTTTGGTTCTGGAAAATTTGGATTTTTTATAAATATATATAAATTTGTTTACTCTTATAATATAATAAAGCTCTCGTTTTTAAACTAAAGTTTACTTTTTTGGTTTTTACAGAAATTTAGTTTAACCCATTAGCCCCAAATGGGGCAAACAAGCACTGGGATTCTTACATATATTTTGAGTTTTTATAAATGTGCATGAACTTGTTTACTCTGACAATATGAAAAAGTACTTGTTTTTTAACTGAAGTTAATTTTTATATTTTTTTACAGAGCCTTAATTATTTCTGGCACAATCGCCTTGATTCGGGGAATTAGACCAGAGCTTTTTACACATATTTTTGATACTTATAAATGTAAATGATTTATAAATATCACAAATTACATTTAAAAAAAAAAAGCTAGTTTTTTTAACTAAAATTAATTTTTATTGTTTGTACAGAACTTTGATCGTTCTTGGCCGCAATTGCCCTAAATAGGGGAAATTAACCCTAAAAATTTTAAGTATTTTTTTGATAATTGTAAATGTTAATGAATTTTTTTACTCTGACAGTTCGTAAAAACTCTATTTCTTTATCTAAAGGTATTTTTCACGATTTTAACAAAGCTTTTATAGCTTTTGATCCTATTGCCCCAAATGGGGCAAACGAGCAGTGGAATCTTTACCTAGGGGCCCCTAATATAAGAATGATAATTTGTAGAACTGAATGCTTTGATTCTTTAGTAAAAAAGGAAAATAATTCAGCATAAGCACTTCAATGAAACTCCTTCTCATTGATAGCATTTGAAAAATAAATTTATTATCAAAATTTGGTGCCATAAATACTAAGGAAAACTCAACAAATCTCGACGCAAAATAGACTTTATTGAGCGCAACATAAATTATCATAACTTGGGAACCAGTTATCCAAATTGAATAAACGGTTCTGAAAACGTCTTTATTATCCGCATATTTTGGTATTAATTATAACAAGAGATAATTATTAATAGTAAAATCGTATGAAGTGTCTACCTAGTGGAAAAAAAGACGTCGAAGAGACGTCTTTAAAAGTCTTATTTACAATGTCTCTAAGACGTCTTTTTTTAATCGGTTATGCAAATCTAATAGACATCTTTTTTCGACATCGAAAAGACGTCTTTTTTTATCTTAATCTTGCTATAAAAAGACATAAAAAATGCATCTTTAAGACGCTTTTTTAAAATCGAATATGCAAATCTAAACGACATCTTTTTTTGACATAGAAAATGCGTCTTTTTTGTTATTAATCTAGTCATTAAAAGAGATAAAAATTGCGTCTTTAAGACGTCTTTTTTCTTTATCAATTATGCACTTCTAAAAAAAAACTTTTTCTCGGGGTCGGAACGACTTTTTTGCCATACTAATTAGTATACTATAGTTTCCTATACACTATAGTGTTCCTACTTTTCTTATATGAAAAACTATTTTTTTCAAATGAAAATGATAATAGCTCTTCATACAAAGTATGATTAAAAGCTTTTTCCGATGCCGAGAAAAAATCCTTTTTTAGATGTCAATATAAAAGAGGAAGCATTTTCTACATCTTTTATATGTTTAAATATAGGAGAATAATTTATAAATAAAACAATAGTATTGTTCAACAGAATATTTTTTCATCTTTCTCTTTCCTTTCTGTTTCTTGAGCGAGCTCTGTTTCTTAGCGTTGTTGAATAAAATTAACAATTTCATGTCGAGAAATCCTTTCATACGAGCAGGTTACGACTTCTAGCTAGTTATCACTTCTAAAAAACGAGTGAACATAAAAAACAGTCTATTGCTTAAATGTAATACTAAAAAAGCAAACAAAACTTGATTAGCTAAGGTAGGAACGCATTATACTTACCGACTATTAATTCAGAAAGGGTTGATCCTTTTAATCCACTTATGTTTCCAGCGCAGTCTCTTTTTTTTGAACCCACTAGGTTAGCTTGGGACAGGAGTCAAACGGTAAACAGTCTAAAAATATATAAAAATGAGTGTACAACGATGTATTTTATTAAGTAGTACTTAAATCAAACTAAGCATTTGCACCTTTCTGGTTTGCTATGAAAGCCAAGTTATTGAAAACAGATATTGATATTTTTCTGTCTTCAATAACATGACTTTTTTAATGAATATCGCTGAAATTAAGTGCTGTAGACTCATAACAATTTAAAAATCCGTTATTGACTAAAGAATATCAAAACAAAAAGATAATTCAGCTAATACATCTTGAGAGTTGTTATTCATTTAAACTGGAAAAAAGTATTTGTACAAAGCTCTATTTTAGCCTTAAACATAAAGATGCTTTACTTAACAACATAAAATCATAAAAACTGGCGATATCATTAGCAACACAGATGAAATACACATAAGCAAAAATAAAGACTAGAAAGCTGCAATAATGTTTAGATATAAGAAAGTGTACCTTTCTAGTATCATTTTCACTTGGTTTTTTGTATCCAAACCAAAAATTTTGCGAACAGTTCTAAAGATTAATCTGTTGTCATTATGTGTATTTTTATAATTGCTATTTTTATAATTGACAGACAACAGTTGACAAGGAAATAACATATTTAACTTTAAAGTTAAAGAGCCAATCTTTTGTATAAACAATTTCATCATTCAACTATATATCATTTAACATCATTTAAAAATATATATAAAAAAAAGTGCAAGCCTACTAATTGCTTCTTTTTTTCTATCGTTCGTTTCACTGGCACTTGAACAAGTAAATTTAGAGAGAAATTGTTTACAGGTGTTATATTATATCTGAAAATAAATATTTTATTTTAATAAGTAATAAACAACGTTCTTCAAGCACAATACATTAAAAAATTAGTCTAAAAATAAACGTTAACACTTTTTAAAACAATTACCTGCGACTAACTTAATTGAGATTAGATGATGTCGATACCATCTTACCGGCACCACGCCATCCATTATAATATATATATATATATATATATATATATATATATATATATATATATATATATATATATATATATATATATATATATATATATATATATATATATATATATATATATATATATATATATATATATATACATATATATATATATATATATATATATATATATATATATATATATATATATATATATATATATATATATATATATATATATATATATATATATATATATATATATATATATATATATATATATATATATATATATATATATATATATATATATATATATATATATATATATATATATATATATATATATATATATATATATATATATATATATATATGTATTTATTTATATATATATATATACCAGGAAAAAATCCCCCCGGGAAATATCTCAAATAAATAATAAATTTTTTTACATAAAATTATCAATATGCAGTTGTGTTTATTTCTTTATTTATTTTGAACATTTATATAAAATACTTCCTTTTTCATCAAAATGTCAAGTTATGCGCTATTCCTCGAAGGTAGCGAATGTGAAACCCTAACCCTAACCCTAACCCTGACGAACTGCGAACTGGTAAAATGTTAACTTTTTTGCGAACCATTGTAGTTTGTTTAGCGGTATATTTAAGGACTTTTAAGCGAAAAAAATATTTAAAAAAAAAAAAGTAAATTAAGTGAAACTAGACGAAAACATTATGAAAATATATATATATATAAATATATTTTTTAATTACTTGATAGACTGCCTGCTCAACCCAAACCCTCAGTCGATGTAGCAGCACTCCGTTGCGAGTCAGGCTTTAAGATAGTCTATGTAGCAATACTCCGCGCATGTTTTACAGTTAAAAAAATAAAAGTTTTATTTTAAATAAAGCTTTAAAATAGAATATTAGGAATAAGAGAGTTTTTTTTTTTATTTTTTACCGACAACCGAGAAATAGCGCATAACCTTACATTTTGATGAAAAATGAAGTATTTTATTATAATAGTATTTAATATAAAAAATATAACTATTTTATTGATAATTTTTTTCTAAAAAAAAAATTTTTCTTTTTTTGGGGGGATATTTCCCGGGGGGATTTTTTCTCAGGGGGATTTTTTCCCAAGGGATTATTTTCCCGGGGGGGATTTTTTCCGGGGGATTTTTTCCTGCTACCTAAAAATTATTGAATAAACCCGCTTACCGAAAAAAGTTAATTTTTAATTAAATTTTCTATGCAAAAACGTTTCACATAAAAAAAAAGTTATATAAAAGTATTTTGTAAACATAAAACGGGCCAATCAGAACGTAACAAAGATTTCGTAATTACGATACTGTGGGTTAAAACCCATCTTTGTTAGGTTTTATTAGCAATAATTTTTTTTAATTTTCTTAAACAAATAATGATTTCCTTATTAACAACCGATTGACCTCTTTTTGACCTCTTTTTTGAAGACGTCTTTTTAAAAGACGTCTTTCCACGTCTTTATTTAGGCTGATTATAAAAAGACATAACAAGTCATAAAAAAGACGCCTTTTATTCGTCTAAAGATGTGTTTTTTCCCTCTGGGTAAATTTAAGAAAGGATTAGTTCATTGATATACTTGAATATTTTAGGGAAAAACGTATAAAATTTGGCTAACCGAAGAAAAGAAGGCTTCTAACCTTTTATAACAAAACGCCGTAATAATACGGCCTTTTTATGTTTTAAGCAACACCGCCGTACAAATACAAACTGAGATAAGGTGTTACTAAAAGAATTTGTAATACCTCAAAATTAGTCAAGTCAAGTCAACAAGCATTTAAACTTCACAAAATAAATTAATTTTACTAGAGATATTTTTCACTTTGTAGGTATTTATGTATAAATATATATATATATATATATATATATATATATATATATATATATATATATAAATATATATATATATATATATATATATATATATATATATATATATATATATATATATATATATATATATATATAATACTTAAATAATACTTTTGCGTGTAAGTGTGTAAATTATGTTATTATATTTCACAAAGAAAGTTCTCAAAGCTCTCAAATGCGTATAAAGAACGGAGCGTTAATAAATTAGTAAAAAGCACTTGTGTAATTTTGTATTCAACTCGTACTTTTACCTTCTGTATACAGAAGGTAAAGGTACACACATATACTTTCTGATACTATAGTATCAGAAAGATTCTGGTTACCTTTCAAAGAAGGTGAAGCTACTAAAATATAATAAATAGATTATTTTTTTTACTATATTATATATATAAAAGACTAAAAAGCTTCAGCATGTTCAGAGGATTTATTTCATGTATTTATTCAAATATATCATGATCCACCCACAGAAGACTGGATTATGTGTTACTAATGTAAGTCGTGGTCCCACAAAAAGTGCACCAGTTGTGCAAGGACATCCAGAGGTTTTCTCTGTGATTTTTCCACTTAATTAATGGATGTAACAATTTATGAATTACATTTATTGATATTTGACATTTCATTCCTGTAACATTTTATTTAGTTTAAATAAAACTTATTGACATTTGTTTCTTTAATGTTTGATTTGTTTAAAATTTTATTCAATAACATTTTAACGCTTCAATCAAGTTTGATTTGCTTTCATCAACATTTTATTTGGTATTAGCCAGTAGTGTTTGTGATTACTCCACGTGCGTAGAGTAATTCTGAACACCGAAGGATTTGTTTTTGATCGAATTTTAATTTTTTAATAAGATATATGAAAATTGCTTTTGAGTGTTTCTAACCAAATGGCTAGACTAAATAATAAGCAATAAATATCATTAATATATAGTAATAATTGTCTTTAATTCGCATTCCCGCTTAGCTGTTCGCCATTACCCCAAAAATTACAAAATACAACAAAATTAAGTTAAATCAGATAGGGGCTCAAAGAAGATAACATTACGTTATCGCAATCTTTTCATAGAACCCCTATGTACAAGTTTAAATAAAACAACGTAAGAATAAATAGCTCGTATAAAAATATAATAATAACAATGTTATCATTAAAAAGTCAAGAGAAGGTTAAATTAATTAAAAAAGTAAAAAGAAAAAACTTTATCTTAAGTTCAAATTTTAAAAATTTATTTTTTTAATTGAAACATAAATGAATTTAAAGACTTCACCATAAATTTAAATTCCTTTTGACAGTCATTCCAAAATTTAGGTCCTCGATAAGGTATACAAAATTATTGTATCATTTAAGTACAGTTCACGCAATTTAAGAGGAATGTTTAATTCTTGTAATTTTTATTGTATAGAGTATAGTTGGTTTTCTCAACATTAAGTTTGTTAGCTTTAAACCAACTATTTACTTTATTCAATTCTATGTTCATATCTGTATAAAGATGTTTAATATGATTATTGGTAAGAAATAAATTAGTATCGTCTGCAAACATTATTGAGTTGATGCATTACAAAACATTATTGAGTTGGTGCATTACAAAAGTCGTTAATATAGATTAAGAATAAGAACGGACCAAGGATTGATCCTTGTGGAACTCCGCAAACGACATTTAATATTCCGAATTGCACATTATGAACATATTGCTTTCTATCAGTAAGAAAACTTTTAATCCAGAAATAGGTTGTATTAATTATACCATAATGCCTAATTTTTTGTAAGAGAATGCAATGGTCGACTGTGTCGGATGCTTTATATAGATCTATAAATACTCCAAAAGTAAATTTGTTTTTGTCAAACCCATCAGTTATTTGGTTGACTATTTCAATAACTGCATGCTCAGTCGAGTGATTTTTTTGAAATCCGAATTATTTTGGGTAGAATAAGTTATTTTTAGTGAAATATTCGAATATTCTATTATAAATTACGCGTTCAAACAATTTTGAGAATACAGAAAGTAAAGATATAGGTCTATAATTTGTAATGCTCGAATGTTACCTTTGTAAATTGGGATTACTTTAGTTATTTTTAGAGCATCAGGGAAAACACCAAACTTTAATGAGAGTTTTAGTATATGAAATAAAGGTTTGCTTAAGCTAGTTTTGTTAAAAAAAACTTTGTTGCTAGGTATTTCATCATATCCTGGGGATTTATTTTTTTTATAGAAGAGTATGCTGTTTCAAATTCTTTATAGCTTAATTCATTGCCATACAATATTTTGTCATTAGAGGGTTTTAGGTAGGTTTTAAATGATTCTAATGTTAATGTTATCTTATTGGCATGATTTAGGCCAACATTTGTAAAATACTTGTTGAACTCTTTGAAATTAAGTTTTCATTGTATATATCAGTGTTATCAATATTAATTCTTTTAGGTATCATTACATTATTCGCACACAAATTTTGGAAGATCTCTTATATCATATCGCGGAGCTTTTCTGTGGAACCAAATAGCGTTAAAAAACTTTGATTTTTCTAAATATTGTAGTTTTCTTACTTTCAAAGATAAACTGAAAAAAGTTATTTTGACAATTGATAACATCTTCGAGGTTTTTTGAATATTTTATTTAAATATTTAGTTTTATTACATATTTTAACATTTTTTAACGGTATTTTATGTTTGGTTTTGGCTTATTAAGAATCTTGTATTGTTAATATCGGTATTTCGTTTTTATTTATTTTGTATCGCATTGTATCGCAAGGTAGTAAAGGTCCCATGTTATTTTTTTTTACCGATTTTATTATAAATTATGGACCATGTTTTTTTACTATTAAATTTGTATTTGGAAATTAGAGTACTGTAATAGCTTTTTTTTGCATTTTTAATTAGAGCTTGGTAAAAGTTTTTATATTTTTTGTAACTTTTTTCGTTTTCAGTGTTTTTATTTTTTAGGAATTTATTATACAATTTTTGCTTTTTTTTAGAACATTTTAACTGCGATTTTTTCATCCACGGATTAGCTAGTGTTTTCGCCTTAATTTTTATATCCTCGAATGGGCAGGTTTCATTGAAATGCTTTAATAATGTACTTAAAAAATTGTTAAAAGCCTCGTTAGTATCTTGACATTTATATACACTTCTCCACTTTTCTTGTTTTAATTTCCATGTTAATTCATTAGTATTGCTAATTTTTTGGATACGTTTTTTCAAATTGATAAAACTTTGGTTGACTATCGGACGCAGTTTTTAAATAGTTTTCTTTTAAGAAAATAGGAAAGTGGTCACTGATATCTGTCTGGAATATTCCGGATTCAAATGTTGTTTCTAGGTAGCTATTAATGAAAATATTGTCAATTGCAGTTGCTGAATTTTTAGTAACACGTGTGGGTTTTATTATTAATTGATAAGACATTGAGTTTAAAGAGCGTGAGAATGAGTTTAAAGAGCATCAAAGAATGATTTCAGTCAGAACATCTAGGTTCATGTCTCCAATAATCAACAGGCTTTTATTTTCTTTATTAATCTTTATCATAGTTTTCTTAATAAAATTTTCGAATGGTTTAATTCAGTGGCGGAACTTCAAAATTTGGGCCCCCCCGCAAAAGAATGTTTTTTTTGCGGAAAAGAGTTTTATAGTATAAATATTATTGAGAGTATAACTTTTTTTATATGAGGGCTCCCTATAGCTGGTAGGTTCCCCCGCAACGCAGGGTCCTGCGTCCAGTAGCTCCGGCACTGGTTTAATTATACCATTTGGTGGACGATAAATACATCTAATATATTTTTACATTTATTGTTAATAATTTCGATGAAAAGATTTTCATAGTTGGTATTTGAGAGACTATGTAAATTTTTTATTTTATAAGTAAATTTATCGGAGACATTGACCCCTAATCCTCCACCTTTTTTTTCCGCTGGCTCTTGGTTGACTAATTAAATTATAAGATGGCAGTTTATTGTTAGTGTTTAACTCAATATAACTTTCTGTATCATGCCTGTCTCTGTAAAAGCTATGACATCAAACGCATAATTTACAATCCTTAAAAATTCTTTCAATTTTCAATATTTTGCTGCATGCTTCTAATGTTTAAGTGTAATAAAGAAAATGAATTATGATCTTTTGTTACTTTGAAGTCAAAAGGATTAAAATATGGTGTGTTAATTAAGTTCATTTGAATTTCTTGAAAAATATTCAAGTTATTATTTACTAGGTTATCATTAATATCCTCCAGAGAAGGGTCAAAGTTTAGATTTTCAAAACCTTTGTTGATTAAAGTGCTCGTTCCCATTTTTGAAAATAAACAAATAAGATTATAAAAAAAAAAAAAAAAAATTTCGATATATTAACTCTAACTACAAATATAAATCAATCTGATCAAAACTTTAAATTTTGAGCGCCGTCGGAATTGTTATCTTTAAACTTATGAACAACGAGCTTGTTATATACCACTTTTGCAAAGTATCCGTTTTGCCTATGAATTTTTGCTTTAGCAAAAAGTTCTTTACGAATTATGTGGTTTCGCTGTAATATATCGTTAATATATATATTGCTACCTTTAAGATAAAAAGCTTTATCCAAGATAATTTTTTTGTCCTCAAAGTCATGTAGAGTACAATTATTCGCGCACGGTCGTTATTAGCAAACCCAACTTTATGCGCACGTTCAATTTTAATATCCTGTTTAATCACGAGTTTCTAATGAAAAAGTTTTTTGACTTTTTCTTTTGTAGATTCCCACTCTTTTTTGTCAATAGTTTCTTAAGACCGTCAATTCGTAAATTGCACCTTCGATTCCTATCCTCTATGTCAACACTTTTAAACTTTAACTCACTATTATCTGAAAAAATTTTCCCTTGTATTTTTTTAATATTAAACAACTCATCACTTACTTATTTAACTTTTTCTTCGTGCATCTTTATTTTTTCTTCACACAGGTCACCAACAAAATTCATACCAGATTTTATTTCACGAAGTTCATGACTTAAGCTTTTAATATTTTGTTGCAGAGCTTCAACTTTTAGATTAAAGTCTTTAACTGTTTCTTTGAAAAACGATGGTTTCTTTTTGAACATTAAGAAGTTCCCTCATCATTACAATGCAGACATATTCAACTGATTTACTCATTTTAATTAATATAACATTATAATATATAATCAATAAGATAAATTTGAAGGTTTACAACTTCTTAAATTTATCCACACAATAAAACACGACCGATTGCTTCAGAGTTTTGAGCATGCATGTTTCCTTTGAAAGCAAAGATTCATTTGGAAAATTTATAAAAAAAAAATTATAATTTGAAAATAATTCAAAATTAAATTCCTTTAATTAAGGAGCTGTTCTAATAAAGACAAATCTTTTTTAAGTGCACTCAAATAAATATCCTTAGCTGTGTCTATTAATTTAGTTTTACTTATATATAAGTAAAAAACTACTTTTTTTTTTCGCGTCCTTTTTTTTTTAATAAATACTCAATTTGTATATTTAATTGCCTAACCTTTAAAAATATTGCACAACCTCTAAAAAGTTTTACAACTTTTTAATGCTTAAATTATAAAAAATGTAACTTTTATTTAAATTAGTTAACTTATGGTTTCAGTTAAAGCTGGGAAATGCTTTTGTGTGCACCTTCAAATTCACCTCCAATTTTGGAATAAATAATATTTTTTTTTTTTATTACATATATAAATTAAGTTATTATTGTTTTGTTGAAATTTTTGAGAAAAGTTTTTTATTTTTCATTTTCTTTTCTTTTTATTATCTAACATATAGCATAATTAATATTGTTTTGGATTTTTCTTTTCCTTATTGTACATATCATTTATTTCCTCTTATAAGCTTTAATGGGTCTCGATTTTTGAATGGATTTAAAAAAAAAATTGTTCGACATATAGTGTTGCAAAAACTGTAACAGCTGAATTTGCTCACCTAAAAAATTGTTTGATCTTTAATATAATAATTGTTAGAATTAATAACATCGATCAAATTTGTTTGATTAGATTTGTTTATTAATGGTTGCCTGAGATGAAATATTAGTTTTAAGAAAATGAGAACGGGTGATTAAAAAGGTAATATCAAAGGTAATGCACAAGGTTAACGATAAATTTACCCCCTGAACATCGTTTTATAAAATTCATTATCTCCGTACTTTCAAAATGTAGTATAAATCTCTGCTGGTTTTGAATGTAATTCATTATAGTTTTATCCTTAAAGGACTTGCAAAATGATAACGGTAATTTATTTGTTGATATTTTATAACATTTTTGTTTCATACCGTTTTTGTAAATAAAAAATATCTTAAACATTTAGGCAGTGGTCTTGGTGGCTTTCTTGGCAGCATCTGCAACCGCTTCGAATTATGTTAGAGTTTGCTATTATACAAACTGGGCTCAGTATCGACCCGAACCAATGAAGTTTTTCCCTGAAGATATTGATCCATTCCTTTGCACGCACATAATGTATTCATTTGCTAAAATTACAAACTGTAAGTAGTTTTTATATAAACTACAAATTTTTAAGTGTTTAAATTTAAAAGTGAATAAAGTTTAAATTTTTTGCTGTTTGGAAAAATTTAAACAAAATATTTAATTTCTATTATAAAAAAATTGTTATATTCACAAAGGTGCTATTAATATTAAGTATTAATACTGCAAATAAAATTTTTGTATATTTAGTTAACTATAAAATCACACGAGAACTAAATGCAAGTTGCTTTTATTTATTGATAAGTTACGTGCTTACGAGTAACTTATCAATAAATATATTTACTTAAACGCGTTTGTAAATACTCTCAAACCATTTAGATAACAAACTTGATATGTATGAATGGAATGATGATAAAATGTATCCACGTGTTATGGCTCTTAAGCAAAAAAATCCAAATTTGAAAATATTTCTTGCAGTTGGAGGTTGGAATCATGAAAATGGAGGTAGTTAAATGTTTTCGATTCTGTTGTATGCTTTTCTGTTGTAATGCCTGTTGTAACATCATAATTAAAACACAGCAACTTTGAACTGTGTATATCACTGAACGGTGTACGTCACTGAACGGTGTACATCACTGAACGCTGTACGTCACTGAACGGTGTACATCACTGAACGGTGTACATCACTGAACGGTGTACATCACTGAAAGGTGTATATCACTTAACGGTGTACGTCACTGAATGGTGTACATCACTGAACGGTGTACGTCACTGAACGGTGTACACCACTGAACGGTGTACATCACTGAACGGTGTACATCACTGAACGGTGTACGCCACTGAACGGTGTACATCACTGAACGGTGTACATAACTGAACGGGGTTCGTCACTGAACAGTGTACATCACTTTGAACCGTGAACATCAAATGCTAATAGTTGCTCTGTAACTATATATAAAAGCTATTGCCTTATTTTATTTTTTAATATACTCTCTTGTAGACACATCAAAATTTTCAGTTATGGTTAATAGTCAAACAAACAGACAGGCGTTTATAAAATCAACTGTTGAACTTCTTCGTCAATGGGACTTTGATGGGTTTGATCTTGACTGGGAGTATCCAGCTGGAAGAGGAAACTCGCCTCCTGGTGACAAACAGATGTAGATAAAAGTTGATAATAGAAGTTAAAAATACAACTTAAAAAAATTAAATTTTAATTTGAAAAAATGAAAACAAAATATTTTTTTTTTTTATAAAGGTTTACTTTGCTTTGCAAGGAACTTATACAAGCTTTTGATAAAGACTCTGTTGCAAGACAAAAACCAAGACTTCAACTTTCAGCCGCTGTATCTGCTTCCCATTTAGGCATTGATGCTGGGTATGAAGCAAAAGAACTTGGAAAATACTTGGACATTTTGAACTTAATGGCGTATGATTTGCATGGTATCTGGGATAAAGTAACTGGTCATCACGCTGCTATGGCTGGTGATGGAGGTAACAAACTATTTATTTTTTGCATAGAGACAAGTAAAGAGGGAATTAAAAAGAAATAGTTAAATATTTGTTCTCTTTTTTATCCCTTGATCTTCTGTTATATCTTATATCTTCTGATTTTATATCTTATATCTTTGATATATCTTATATATCTTATATCTTTTGATCTTCTATAAGAAGATGTTATATCTTCTATAAGATCTTTTTGATCTTATAGAAGATATAACATCTTCTATAACTTCTGTTATAATTGTTATAACTCCATCTTTATATTTTATGCTAATTTTAAATAAAATATTATTAAATAAAGCTTTAAAAGTTACTTAAAATTAAAAGCTTTAAAATTCACGAAAGTTACATAAAAGTTTAAGACAGTTGAATTAAAAATCAAGAAAGTTACATTAAAATTCAAGAATATTACACAAACCGTTTTTATATGCTATGATTAATTACTATTTACATATTTCTTTTATTTTTGAAATAATTTTTTTCTTTTTTAGATCATTAAAATATACAAAAAGTTTGTAAATTACAGATGTATTGTTATACGCATTTTTTAACAGTATTTTTATTGAAAGCTTGTTAACTAAAAAAGTTGAAAATTAGTTGAAACTAAATTCTAGTGGTTTTCGCGTTTTTTTAAAAAGTCCTGACTCGAATATAATAAGGACTTGAACCTCGAATTCGTTTTTATTAGTAATAAGTTGTAACAAGTTTTGCTTTAATATATTAAAAATAATTATTTAATAGAAGAAACATATTGAATTATTTATCTATTGAAAATTATTATAAAAAAATGAGTATAAACGGTTTAAATAAAATTAAATAATTCGGGTCAGGATTTTATAAAAAACGCGAAACCTGGATTTGCTCACTAGAATTTAGTTTCAACCGTTCAAATTGCGCATTTATGTATATTGTGCTAATGCTTTAGTTTGTTTAAACTATTATATAATTTTATGTGTGTATGTTTATTGTGTGTATAAAAAGTGTTTGTATTTATTGTGTATTTTATTCAACTTTTTATAATGCGACTTTAAGAAGCCATTATGAAAAGTATTTGGAAAATTTTTTATAGAACGGACTAATTACATCTAACGAACTATTTCAAATGGTAACCTTACCAAGCATAAATAGATTAGGCGATTGCATTATAGAGTATACTGTAAATACTTATAAAAATATTAATTGCCTTCAGGTTTTAATTTTAAGTTGTAATATTTTAGTTAACGCACCAAATCGTAAAGAATTTACTATACCTTACGCTGTTGATCACTGGATAAAACGTGGTTTTCCTGCAAAAAAAATTGCTCTAGGCTTGGGCACTTATGGTCGAGCTTTCTTCCTTAAAAATCCAAGTGATCATGGTCTTGGTGCTCCTATAGAAGATAGAGATTGGAACAAAGCTCCAAAAGGAGAATTTACGCGCGAAGAAGGTTTTCTTGCTTATTATGAAATATGTAAGATGGGTTTAACTGTTGTACATAACAGTGTTGTTGATGCTCCATACGGGTACAAAGACAAAACCTGGGTAGGATACGATGATCAAGCAAGTTTAAAAAAAAAAGTAGAATCTCAAATTATTAGTAAGACTGTTTTGAAATTAATTTTCTTTTTAATTTATTGTTAAATTTTTAAAACGTATGCAAAACCATATTAGGTTTAACAGAAAAACTGAACGCTGGGTTAATACTATAACAAAGAAAGAAAGAAATTTTTTTATATTTTTTTAGAAAAGGGTCTTGCTGGTGCCATGTTTTGGTGCTTAGATCTTGATGATTTCAATGGTCGTCATTGCGGTCAAGGACGTTACCCATTAATGTCTTCAGTGGCTAAACTTCTTGGTGGATACGTTCCTCCCGTTGAGCCTACGTTCTCCCCAACCACAAAAGGACCATCAACGCCTAGCAAAAGTAGTACTGCCACTGATCGTCCTGCAACAAACCCCCCAACTGGAGCATGTAAGGCAATCGATGCAAGAGTAAAAGATCAATGGTGTAATGATAACTGTCCCAAAGGATATTGCCCTACTGAGTTTTGTAAATGTTAAATAAATAAAAAAAGTGATAACTTATTGCTCTTAGTATTGTTTACATCGTTATTTTTTTTTTGTATCAAATTATAGTTGTTATCTTTTCTCTTTAACACCAAGTAAATAAAATTTACATGGTATTAATAAATTTCTTGGTGTTCCCATAACACCAAGAAATTTATTTGATGATAAAGAGATTATTCACGAATTACTCATGTGTAACTGAGACAACTATGTTTGTTGACAACTACGACTGAGTAGTTTTTTTGTAAATTTTATATTTTTCATGCATTAAAATCACTGCAAAATATAATGGAGTTCTATTAGTGTCACCAAAAAATTTCTGAAACACCTTTTGTAAGAACTAGTACAAAGTTCTTAAAAGGTATCCAAAACAAATGTAAACTTTTTCCGCTAAACATGTTCAGTGAAAACATTTTAATTGTGTTTTAACAGCTAACGGAACAGTACTTTCAATATGTTCCGTTAACATTTTTTGGCTGGTAGGTTTAATGAGGTATCATACCTGGTAGGTATGATACCACATTAAAGTGTGCTAAAAGATACTTGACGTTATGCACTTTGTATGAGGTACATTTAGCTAAATTAAGTCTATTACTGTTAAAATAGGCATATCCAGCCTTTTTTTCTCAGATTTAAAATACAAGAAGACGAAGCTTTATTGTGAAAATTGATAGCTGTAGCTCCATCATATTAATGCCCTCAGCAAATTATCATATATAATTTATCATATATAAATTAGAAAGAGAATTTATCAGTTTTTTAGATTGCAAATGATGATGATGTTAAAAATACATTTTAACATCATCAGCAAAAATAAAAAAATGTTTAAAATTTTAAATGTTTAATGACATCACCAAAACACTTTTTTACTCGATGATATGGTGTCTCAGACATGTAAGAAGTATTTTTTTTGTTGATAATATTTCTAAATTCAGGCTTTTCTAAATTCATCAATAAAAAGTATTTAAAACCGAGTATGAAAAAATGGCAAATATTAGCGTTTTTAATGTAATTTTTTAAACTTTAACATCGAGTTATAAATTATTTTTACGTTCTAACATGCTTATGTAAAACATTTATATTTCTCGTAAATATATTGCTAGCTGTTGTTAATGTTGTTAAAAACTAAATAAAAATAATATGTTGCAGACAAGAAAAATTGCATGTTCGTAAGGGGCTGTTCAAATAATACGTGACACTTTTTAGGCATTTTTAGAGACCCCCCCCTCCCCTATGTGACATTTTGTGGCATTTTTAAAAACTCCCCCACCCCTGTGTGACGTGACAAAGACAAAAGTTTGGAATTTTCACAAGTGTCTATTTAATTGTAGCAGTTCATATTAAAAAAAAAACACAATTGACATGTTTCTGTTTAAGAAACATGTCCTAACTTTGTTCCCAAATTGGACTTTGACCTTCAAGTATTGGAGTTCCATGGTCTTCAATAATTATTGAAAGCCAGTTGGGATCAGAGGTATCAACATCGTCCTGATCATGCCATTCAATTGTTTCTTTGTCTGAATTTAAAAAGACACACATGAGTTCAGATAGACGTTGAGCAACTTTTTGAATCTCATTCGATAATCCAATACTTGAGCAAACTGTTTTGTGCTGTTTCATTGATTTGAGAGTGGCAAAATATAGACTACAATTGGTACAAATTCTTTTTGGTAAGGAACTTTGAATGCTCGGACATAAGTAGTCGTATGGCAATCTTTTGGGAAACTTTTTAGTAATTGTCTTGGGAAAAATTGTTTTGCTTAGTGATAAGTTTAAAAAGAGGCTTGCTAAGTTATTCTTTGTATTATTGCACTCAAGACCGTTTTCTCCTTGGAACAAAGAAATTGGTGGAGGAAGAAAACCAGTTGGAATAAGATGGAACAGTGATCTGCGACGATGACCACAGCAGTTTTGATCATTATATTTTACAATTTGCAGCAAGTATTGACTTTCTTTGACATGTTTAGCATCCCACTCTGCTCCAAACTGCTTTAATTATACACGATTTTCACTGTTTGGTTCTTTGTACTTAACATGTCTTTTTCCTTCTGTGCTCAATGATCTGCTTGGAAGTAATCTTAAGTAAACTCCTGATTTGGAGAGATTGTAACCATGGTTTTTTAGTTCTTCAACCAACTCTAATGTTTTTAAAGTTCGAACAAATTCAGTTCTTCTCCTATCATCAGAAGCAGAACCTTTCAAGGCAATATCTACAATCGTTTTAATTAAACTGTCCTGATCAAAGGCTAGCGGTCGACCTTTTGATTCTGCATTTTTAATACCACACAACTTTTTTCTAATATCCGGATCTAAAGCTTCTATTGCTTTTTTTCTTTTTAGCCTGGTTTCTGTTTGACGTTCAGTGGCTTTTTGACGAAGTACAAGATCTCGGTTTTTTTCTATCAAAAGCTTTTGTTTTTGTCTTAATGTATGGTGGTCCTCTTGTGACAACAAGTTGCTATTTCTTTTTTCAGTAAAATATGCAATATCTTTATGTAAAAAAAAATTTCATTCTTTAAATGATCTTGTTTTGGCGCAGGTCTTTATAAAACTTTTAACAAACTGGGGTTTTCTTTTTTGGTGTATAGTTTTGTAATATCGTCCAGTAAGATAAAATACCAACTTTATTTCGAAGTTCATTTTGCTTTAGTTCTTTCAATTTTTTTTCAACTTCTACATTTATATCGAGTAACATTTTACTCTTTGTTTTGACCTCAGACCAGATTTTATTTGTTTCTTCTTGAGACTTTTGCTTTGGTTTGTTTGCGAATGCTTTTAAATATCCTTCATAAATAAATTTGTAAAGTTGTTTCTTTTCACTAGACATTTTTATTCTATAACAACAATGACAACAAGTTTATTTTCCTTACAAACATTAATTAAAAACAAGCACATTGTGAATTAATGTTAACAATAGCATTATTAATACTAAAATTCGTTAACAATCCAACTAACTTAATAAATAATAAAAATATAAATATAAAATAATAACGTAATAATAAAATAATATGGTAATTAGACCAATTATTTGCTATAGAGTGACACAAAATATTAAAAGTAATACTAATAATAACATTGAAAATAGAATAATATCGATTATGTATTATATTTAAAGACCTAATTTTAAGCGAAAATAACACTTGACTTTTTAGTCTATTAACATAAATAGTGTTAAAAAAATAAAATATGATTTTTGATAGTAATATAAATCGTTATTAGATAATTGCCCACTATCTAGTTCTATGTTCGTAGGATTAGAACTTCTTTTTATGCATACAATTTCCACAAAAATAATTTTGTACGGATTAAATATAAATTAATCAAATCCAATCATTTAACAAAAACAAAAACTTTTGTTAAATGAAAGTTAAACAAAAAACGCTCGCTATTCGTGAAGTTGTTGCATATAATGTTTCTCGAAATCAGTATTATATATAAATACCTCCAAGTTTGCAATATAAACTAATTTAATTGGGCAGTGATAAACAATTTAATTTAAAATGTTTTTTGTCACGTCACACTGAGGCAAACCACCCCCTCCCCCAAGTGACATTTAGTGACACTTTCTAATACTCCCCCCCCCCCCCTCTAAGACTGTCACATATTATTTGAACAGCCCCTAACCACAGAGAACAATTGAGAAAAAAAATATGTTTACTTATATGCGTTAGCATTAAATCTGCAAAACTTGATATAACTTTTAATAATTTACAAAACTTGAAGTTTGCATGCTAGATATTAGCATGCTAGATATTAGCATGCTAGATATTAGCATGCTAGATATTAGCATGCTAGATATCAGCATGCTAGATATTAGCATACTGGATATTAGCATAGACTTTCGTTCACATAGATATAATACGAATCATCGCGAATTGTGGTTTCTATAAAATGCTTTGTAAAATTAGAATTTGCTTTGTAAAATTAAAGAGATTTAAATTTACATATTAAGAAATTAACAAAACATAACAATTTTTAATAGTTTTTAGTTGTATGTCTATATTGAACAAATACGTCATATAATAATAAACGAAAAAATACACGTATTATAATATTCATGTATTAACTAGAAATCAATTTATTTATGCATAATAACCAAAACAAAATATATATAAAAAAAGTTTCAATTTTAAAATTTTCAATTTACAATTATCAAATAACAATTGGTAGATTAACTAACTACAAAAATACTAATTATAGATGCAGCATATTTTTTTCCCACCACTCTCTCCTCAAACTTTACTTTCTACAGGATCCACACTTTATATTAAAAGAGGAGGGGAGGAGTTTTTTCCCTAAATTTAAGTCTACACTTTATGTGCACTTTATATTATAAGATGTGGGCACTATTTGTTTTGCAATACACTGAAAAAGCATTATAAAATACGTCTAAAATAAAAAGAAAAAAAAAATATGATAAAAGCATTAAAAACATTAAAGATTAACACTACAAATTTACCTGTTTTTGATGTTTTTTCGAAAGCATTGTTATAATTATATAAAATAGTCAAAATCTGTAGAAAAAAACATTTGCTGCAAAGACAAAAAGCTATCACACAAAAGTAACAAAAACATAATGGCTATCAGTGCAAAAAAATTTTTGTAATTCGACCAGAAAATAAAATTATTCTTACCTTGATTGCCACAAACTAATTTCTTTTAAACTATTCTGTTATGATCAACAAAATAAATTTCAAAAAATTAAAGTTAAATAAGTTAAAACCATATTTTAACAGTAGACAAAGTAAGCTTATGATAGTTGGTAGAGCATTAAAGTAGAACTAATAAATTAGAACAAATAAATTTAAAATATTTCTAATACATATTATTTGCAGTTAAACATGAAAAATAACTCTACCATTGCGAGATAAAAGGTTAAGTTATAAAAATAAAAAATAAAATAAAAAATGAATAAAATGAAAAAAATATTATAGTAAAATGTTTATTTTTTTATAAGTATGATCCTTTTAATTAAAAACATTAATGTTATCG